ACTCAAGATTAACGCAACGTTTCGGATTTTGGTTTCGATTCGACAGAAATTTTTTCTTCCGATCTTGGAATTGAAGGCGAAATTCAATCGAGATTTGAACGAAATTTTAATGCGATTTGAACGTGATTCAAACAATTCAAAGCATTCGAATGTGATTGTGTGTGTGTGCGCGCCAGTATTTGGCGGTGAATAAATTGAAAAATTTGAATTTTAATCGAAAAAAATTTAAATTCTTCTTTCAAATGAGAGCGACCACAATTCGTCGTGACTTGAACTTTAGGAAATTATTTTTAATAAAATTCGAAAAATTGGCAAAAAATGGCAGAAAAAAATCAATTCAGTTTGAATCGTATGGTTGTCAACTATAATTTGGTCATGATTTGATCTATCGTTTGACTTCAATCAAATTTATGGGAAAAATGACGAAATATTTTCGTAAAAATGAAGAAAAAGTGCAACAGAATCTTGAATGCACGTAATTTTGATGCGAAAATAGAATTTTTTTTGCATTTAACTCAGAATTAAGTGTATCTCCTTCTAAAATTCCTTCGAGAGTTTCATTTTTCAACTTGAAACAAGAGCATTCTTCAAAAAAACGAGAGTGTGGTGCTTCATTTCGTAATTTAAGCCCAAAAACTCTCTTTCTTATTCGGAATTGGTGTTTTTGTCTGATTCAAACTAGATAAAAAAAAACCATTTGTGGTATTTTGTTGTGGCGATTCACATTCGATCACAATTCCTTAAAGAATTTCTCGAAAAAAATGCCAATCGCACAAACAATGCACGGCGCGCATACACCAAATCCACATTGAATGGGCATGTTTTGAGCGTGTTGTGTTTAGTACAACAGTCCATTCAGTCGAAATTCCATAGAATCTAAGTGTTATGCTTTGAATATTGATGAATGGAAGATTTTTGCATATAGTTATCGCGTTCCCCGCACTGACACACCGTGAAATCATATGCCACACGCATATACTTCACGTGCTTGTTAATGTTCTTACTGTGCCTCTCTCTCTCTCTCTCTCTCTCTCTCTCTCTCTCTCTCTATCTCTCTTCGCCTCAGCCATGCATCGCAATGATCATTATTGGAATTATTTATGCAAATTCCCGTCGAATGATTCATTGGATTGCGGAGATTGTGTGGAAATGGGAAAAAGCAATGACTAAATTGTAACGAAAGTAAGCATTCTGCGAATTGCGCGCTGCGTGGCTCAATCGAAATATGTAAACAAATAATCTCAACCATCGATGAATAAACAAATTGGTGCGATGTTTGCACTCGATGATGATGATGATGATGATGAGTCATACATCGACTTGTGCCGAAAATCCCGAATTTTGCGCTGCGATAAGGAAACGAAGGATAAAGAGAGCGATCGAGAGAGAGAGGAACGGAAAGAGAGAGCGAGGGCAAGAGTGAGGAAGAGAGAGAGGGGGAGACCGAAAAGAGAGAAAAAGAGAGCGAAAAGCGATAGAGGAAAAAATCAGTTCAGCACAACAACAACGAAAAAAGTCGGTCGATGATTCAAAAAAAAAAAAATCGGCAAAAATAACAAACGTCTCAATCGAGAAACCAAATAGTACACGCTTAGTTGGTTCCTTTTCATTTCCTTTGCTGTTCGTTCCCGTTCCTTTTCACGCGTTTCCAACTAATTAAAGTGAACATTCGTCACTCGAAAATCGGCAAATCGTTGCGCTTGTGTAGCTGGTGAAGAGCAAATTTGCTTTGGTGCTCGATTTTTACGATGGCCAAACAAACGATTGCCTTTTCAACGGAAAATCCATAAATCCAGAAACCTTTTTTTTATTACACTTTTTCTGATGTTCAGACGAAACGAAAAAAACAACAACAACAAAATTTCGCACACACGCCGACTTTTTACGGCCCATTTTATCTGAATACTGGTGTGATAAGTACGAAGCAAAAAAAAAAGCAGACATTTTTTTCCGCACATTTCATCGAATGAGCGAAAATTCTCGGTTGCGTTTTTTTTTGTTTGGGGTGAGAAAAAGATTTTTGTATAAACAGGCTGTAAAATGTCTCTCTCGCTCGCGTTCTCTCAGTTAAAAACACATTCATAATGACCGATTGACATGCTTTCGGCGAGAGACGCGAGGAGTGAACAACAGAAAAAACGAATGTTTCAACTCATAATTTTATCAAAGGCTCTCGATCTAAATTCAATATTAGATTTGTGCTCATCAATTCGAATTTTGTTTTAACACGCATGTTCATTTTTTGTTCGTCTTTAAATTCCGAATTCAAGTGAAGCGCTCAACCCGTATAAAGTGCAATTGAAGCGGGACCGCGAGAGAGGCAATTCTTTGGCGTTTGTGCGTGTGTGTGTATCAAACATTTGTAATTCGCGTTGAAAAATCATTTAGGTACTATTTGGTTGGGTGACACTGATGACGACAACGTCATCGCTCGCGCCTTTTTCCATTTAATTTGTCTCATTCCATAAACACTTTATACCGGCTTTTCATCTAATTCGTTTGCTTGTTGGTTGTTTTATTCGTTCAATTTTTTTCGAACGCAACAACCAGTGTGACATTCTTTAGCGCACCATCAACGGCTAATAAAAGCAACGGCAACTGACTTATCCAGAGTTAAATGAATGAATTCGAACAAAGAAGTTACAGTTAAGCGCTATGCGCTATGGCCAAATAAGTCCAAGAACCATTTCTATCGTGCATGTGTTTTTTTTTTCATTTTTGTTCTCTATTTTCTACGAGCTCGGCTTCTCCTTTTCATTCTCGGGTTTTGTTTCGACTGAATAGATAAACGTCGAACGTGAACATTTTTTTAAATTGATTAATTAAATTGCTAGCATTTTTTTGTTGTTTCATATTACAAAATCATGGAGAACGATAGATGACAATGTCTGACGAAAAACTTTTATGGTGGACTGTTGTTTCGTTCGCTTGTTTAATACGATCATGTCACCACAAATGGAACATTTTGGCCAGAGTCCCATGTATTGACCCGTTCCGAATTACAATTTGGGTAAAAAACCATTAAAACGAACGAAATTCGAATTCACAACGAGATGCAATCCCGTTTTCAGTGCACGACACAACCCGACCAACATTACCTAATACAGGTGCATAAAATGGCTTCCGAAATGAAGGCGAAGAATTTTTTTTAGCACCATTTGCACCTTCCAGCGGATATTCACATTCCTGTGCGTGATTCGAAAGGCTACCTCAATTTTACCGTAACATTTCACAACCGTGCAGTTCACAAATCGAACGACAACGAACGACTAAAAAAAACGGTTGCAATTCTGTTTTTAACTGAATTTGGATGATTCACACGTCGACAATGATTTGCACAGTTGAGTCGAACCAAAAATATGATTGAAACAATGACTGTGAGAAAATATGATTGGAGAGAAAAAGAATATCGGATAAAAAAACTGAAATCAAAATGATGATCAAGAAATGAAACCAATCTCTACGATCTTGACTATAATCATGGCTAAAATTCATACTTCATTGAACGGTGCGAATTCCCTGACAAAGGAATCACTCGTAGGATCAAATCGATTTTAGTCAAAGGGCGATTTTAGTGCACCAAATCATTTTATATTCTGCACATTCTTATTCGATTTGATGAAATAAGTTGTAATTGATTTTTTTCCTGCATTTGTGCAATTTTCTTAGAACATATTGACAATTTCAATCATTTTCGACATTTTGAAAAATAAATCTGAGGAGTTTTGAGCGATTTTTGACAAAAATTCAAATTTTCTCTTTGAAGAACTTTCAAATAATTTGTTTCGTCAAATTAATCGTTTGGAAATTACAAAGTAGAGCTCAATTGTGACCGCAGCACTTTTAAAGTAGAAGAATTCTCTTCATCAACAGTTTTTTTCTCTCATCAAATGAAGTTACTGACTGAGAAGGGTTCGATTTTTTTAACGTTTTGCTTGAAAAAAGTTCAAAAAAATCGTCAACAACAGATTTTTCCCCAATTTTGTTCTTCTTCAAATTTTTCCTCTGCTTTCGATCCCATTTTCCCACCTTACAGGTGTTTAAAATGCAATGTTGCTACTGAAGTGCACATAAAAAGTGACATGTATTAGTGTCACGATTTATTTTTAGTGATCAATTTGTAAATTGGGTAGATTGAAACGCCGAAAAGTCTGGTCGTTCCGAAAATCCGTGTGAATGTTACGCATTGCTGCGTATAAACAAAATCGACAATCAAAACAGGTTCCCAATGCTTTGCTCGGCTGCAAGTAGTTTGCTCAACACGTGCACACGTGCACCAACAAAATTGAATTGCTCATTTTCATCGAATGCTATTTCTCACTCTCACTCCGCTCTCAAACTCGCCTATAAATCTGACTAAAGCGCACTCGCGCGCGTTAATCGCTGGCAAGCGGCAAATGGTCCATCGTGTTAATTCAAATATATTGCAGGTTTCATTAAGAGATTGACCTCGCATCATAAGCGGGGACCTTTTTTAATTGTTCGAGATCAGTTGCAGCCGATGGACATGTGCACCGCACCGACTATGATTCACAACAGATTAATATCAATCGGCCGCATTTTGACCATGATTCCACTATTTATTCGACGGTTTTTTTGTTGTTTGGCTTGAAATTGAGACGAGAAAAACAAATGAAGGGTTTAAAAGGTTATGGATGATGATTTTTGTTTAGCGAAGAAAATATTTCCGACATCAACTCCAAACAAATGTTTGTTTATTATTGATTACCAGAAATGTCAAAATTGAAATCTGGACAAATGAACATCAACAACTGGAATAAAAACTAAATAAAATAAAGATGAAATGAAAATAGGGGGAAAAATGAAGAAAAAAATGAAAAAGATTGGAAATAAAAGAAATTGTGGACTCAATCCAAGAACTGAATATTTTTAATCCGAACCAAATGAACTATTTTGGTTGTTTGGATAAATTTGACCACATATATGTGGTGAGTATACGGTTGGAATAGTTCCTAAACTCACCACTGTGTGGCGAACGCACGGCGAATTCAGTTGCTGTCACTGTCAAACGTCGAAGCACACCACGTGAAATTTCTATACACAACATTGTGGTCGACACACAAACTGTTTCGTTTTAGTACCGGTTGAATATACCTCGTTTTTATGTGAAAAAAAAACTGAAAAAAAATTTCAATTATAGAAAAAGTTCAATTTTATCGGTGAAAAAAACAGCAAAATTTCAATGGATTTGATAAAGACCATTGACGAAGATGCGGAAGTTGAGAATTTTTCAGAGGATTCCGATGCTGAAGTAGAGGTATAAATACAAAATTCAAACCGTTCATGTGCTCAATCGTCAATCGTTGTTATTTATTTATTGGTTCTTATGTCAATCGCGTTCAATGTTCATCGTTTTTGCTCGATGTTGCCTAATTTTCCTCATTTTTTTCACATTTTTTCATTTTTGACCGATTTTTTGGTTTTTTGACAATGTGTCTCTCATTATTGTTCCATTTCTTCTCATTTTTCTTCCAATTTTTTCAAATGTTCTTTCAATAATCATCCAAATTTTCTCTCCCATTCTCAAGTATCAACCGACAAAAGTGCGTCGCAAGAAGAAGGAAGAGTTCAGTGATAATTTCGAGTTTGTGTCATCGGTGTCGCAGTACAATCGCGACACATGGGACGATTTAATGAAGTATGTGAAGCGTAAGGCGCGTACAAAGACCGACGACAAAATTGCTGAAACGCTGAAGAATCGAGCTGATGATGAATCGAGTGAATCAGATGAAGAGGCGGAGAATGAGGATGAATTTGATTTGTCCGATGATGATTTGAAGCATGACAACCTACGGCTCAAAGAGAAACGAAAAAAGAAGCAGCGCAAAGGTCTCGATATGCCGGATAGTGATGGTGAAAATGATGCGGACTTTTTTGAAGTGGCTGACGGTAGTGAAACGGTTTCATCGTTTTATCAAATGAATTTGTCGCGTCCGTTGATGCGAGCGATTGGTGTTTTGGGCTACACATATCCAACACCAATTCAAGCATCGACCATTCCGATTGCACTGTTGGGTCGTGATATTTGCGGTTGTGCTGCGACGGGAACGGGAAAAACAGCAGCCTATATGTTACCAACACTTGAACGTTTGCTCTATCGTCCATCGAACAATCAAACCGTGACGCGAGTTCTAGTCTTGGTGCCGACCCGTGAGTTGGGCGCTCAAGTCTATCAAGTGTCAAAGCAATTGTGTCAATTTACAACGATCGAAATTGGGTTGGCCATTGGCGGGTTGGATTTGAAAGCACAAGAAACCGTTCTGAGACAAAATCCAGACATTGTCATTGCCACACCCGGTCGTCTTATTGATCACATCAAAAATACGCCTAGCTTTACATTGGACTCGATTGAGGTAATTTTTATGACGATTTTCTTCCATTTTTTTTCATTTAAAAAAAGAACATTTTTCACTATGATGACACTCCTTGCGCTCTGATTTCCAATCGGATGACATTGTTTATGGAAATTCGTGTGTTTTGCCGAGCAAAGCCACGAATTCTATCTGACCGATGTGAATTGCAAGCGCCTTTTTTCGAAAACTATCCATTTGTTTGTCAAACTAAACGTATTTTGTTCCAGGTGTTGATTTTGGACGAAGCCGATCGGATGTTGGACGAGTATTTTGCGGAGCAAATGAAGGAAATTATCAACAGTTGTTCACGAACGCGACAAACGATGCTCTTCTCCGCTACGATGAGCGAACAGGTGAAAGATTTGGCGGCCGTTTCGCTGGAGAAACCGGTCAAAGTGTTTGTCAATACAAACCAAACCGTTGCTTTTAATTTGCGTCAAGAGTTTATTCGGATTCGTAAACGTGTCGAACCAAAACCGTTGCCAAAGGAGGAGGAGGAGGAGGTGGAGAATGGAAATGACAACGAAGAGGAAGCGGCCGATGACTCAGATGATGACGGACAATCAAAGAAGAATGGACGAGGAGGCCCACGAAGAGGTGGTAGAGGTGGTCGTGGTGGTCGTGGTGGTCATGGTGGTCGAGGTGGTCTACAGAAACGTGGCGGTAAAAATTATCAACTGCAAAAAGAGCGCGACGAAAAGGAGCAAGAGGACAAAGATCGTGAACCAATTTTGGCCGCTTTGATCTGCCGTACGTTCCATGATCACTGCATGATTTTTGTGCAGCGTAAGAAACAAGCGCATCGTTTGCACATTCTACTGGGTTTGCTCGGCATTAAGGCCGGTGAATTGCACGGCAATTTGACGCAACAACAACGTTTGGAATCGTTGAAGCAGTTCAAAGAAGAACAAATCGATGTGCTGATCGCAACCGATGTTGCCGCTCGTGGTTTGGATATTGTCGGCGTGAAAACGGTCATCAACTTTAATATGCCATTGTCGACGGAACATTACATTCATCGTGTGGGTCGTACGGCTCGTGCTGGTCGCGCCGGTATTTCCGTGTCATTGGCCGATGAACGTGAACGTAAACTAGTCAAGGATATCATTAAAAGCGCCGAAACGCCCGTCAAAAATCGTATCATTCCAACCGAAATTCTGGACAAGTACAACAAAAAAATGGAACAGTTGGAACCCGAAATTAGTAAGTCCACTTGAATGAGTTTTCAAATTATCAAAACTTGAAGCACTCTATCTCAGTCAATTGAATAATTTGTATCGAAAAAAATGTTCTAAACACCTTTTCTCCACTTGCAGGAAAAATTCTGAACGAAGAGCGCGACGAGCGGTTGTTTTCAAAGATGGAGCAACAAATAGCCAAGCAGGAATTGTCGTTGAGAGGAATGGGCGATCGTGAGCGTACTTGGTTCCAAACGATGAAACATCGTAAGTCGGAAAAAGAGCGACTGGACAATCAATTCAAGGCAGCCGAAGCGGCCAAAAATAACCCCGGTAAACGTACGGCCGCCGATGACCTCAGCAAATTGAGTGAATCGAAACGGAAGAAGAAAGAAGAGGCAACCGCAAAGAAAACACCTTCACAAATGGCCAAACAGAAGGTTCGTGACCAACAAGAGAAGATTTCGTTCCTACGGGCCAAAGCAAGTAAAATCGCACACAAAACCAAACGAATTCGACAAGTGGACGAAATTAATGAACGGGCAACGGTTCGGAATAAGCGGGAATCCAAATTCTCCGTCGATTTGACCAATACCAGTCGTCGCAATGCCAAGAAACTCAGGTACGAATGGAAAATTTCATTTGGAATCAATTTCTATTTTCATTGGTTTTTGTTCCCAATTTTTTCGTTGATAATTTTGTTTTCATTTTTTTTCTTATTTCTGCTGTTTAAATTTGAAAATTTGTTCATTTTATATATCAAAACTTAAAAAAAATGTTTATCGAATTTATAAGCTTTTGTCTCACCACATTTCAATTAAATATTCTAGATACGACGCGAATTCGCACCAGAAGACACAGAAATTGAATGCGAAAAAGAAGACGAGCAAAGTGAAGATTGTGAATAAGGCGGGCGAGAATAAGTTCAACAAAGGCAAAAACTTCAATGCACCACGAAAGGGTGGCAAACCGGGCAAGAAAAAGTGAATCCGATGCAAATGTCAGAATTAAAATTTAGAACGCGTAAATTGTTTTTTAATCAATTGGTTCATAGATTTAAGTTTTTTTTCTCCTGTCAAATTCAAACGAGAAAATTAATGAAAAATAAAATTTCAAAAAATGAATAAAACTTGACGATTTTTTGAAAATAAACTTTTCTGTTATGCTTTCGAGGTGTTTTTTCATCTTTTATTAAACTTAATATTAAATTTCCCATGTATGTGGAATTTTGGCTGCTGTTTTTTTTTCTCATTAGATATGCGTTAACACAACGTGGATTCAGTGTGAATTTTTGCTTGGGTAAATTGTTTTTTATTTTCATTTAGAGAATTTATCGATTCAGATAATATTGTATGTGGTTTGTAGCCACGTAGATGAACAATATTTTCTCATCAATTCGAATGAAATTGCAACTGAAAACACGTCTTCAAATCATTAACTACTATGCTGTCCTCTTCGATTACAAATGATCGGCTCGTTTTTTGCTGATATTTTTTTGGTTTTAGCCAAAGTGGTGGATGGCTGTGCTTGGGTTTCTGGTGAAATAAATGAAAAGAACCGTGTTTCACGATACTTTATTTGCAATGAATCATCTAATAATAATGAGTGCACAGTAAACACAATGATTCTAGCAGTGTTGAGATTTGACACTTGACTTTGTTTTAGTCTAGGGGAATTTAACTCTTACGAGTTCAGCATGTTTTTTGCCAGTTTGCTTGATTCGCGGGAGTTCGACGCGTTCGTTGTACGTACTGACGCGCACGGTCACAAGTTTACACAAGTTTGTTTATGGTTTTGCGCGTTTTTCAAGTTGTTATTTGACAATTAAAACGCGTTTCAAGCTAAAAATCGGTTGTTTACGTGTATAAAGATTTTTCACATCCTTTCCAAAAGTTCAAAGATTTATATAATTATAAAATGGACAAAGGAAATATTTTTAAAGAGCTGGAGAAAGTGTTGAAGAAAAAGTTAATCCAGATATAATAAATGGAACGACTGATGTGTGCGCGTCGTCCAGCTACAAGTTTGCACACGAACTCGCGCGCGTTCGCGCATGTTGTTTTAATACGGAACTTGTCAACTGAGTGGAATCATGCAAGTTCTCTGGTGAATGTAACAATTTCGTGCGCGTTTATATCATTTTTTTACAAGTTTTCACGTAGTTAAATCCCCCTAGGTTTTAGTACCATTTGCTCTAGAAAAAGTTCTATAATAAATACATGAAGCTTTGATTTTTGATTTAGTACATTTTGAACTTTTTCTAGTACAAATGGTTCTTAAATGGATTTTAGTGGCAAATTTCATATTTCGGTTCTAAAAGTTAGAACCATCGTGTTTACTGTGTGTGATTATTCTTCTGTGGAAGTGCTTAAAATTCAGAACTGCCCTGTCGAATCGATCGAGTCCAAATTTATTGGGTATCAAAATGTGCAAACATTAGACATTTTGTTTTCGAACTACACACAGAAATAAAATGTGGTAGGTTTATGCTATCTATTGGTGACGAGTATAGTTACCACAAGTCTTAGAAAAGTTACCCCACGCACCAAAATATTACTATGCACAGCACACATGCATTTTTTGGTTGGAAAATTCTCGGAAAAGCGCTACTGTGGGAAATCGGGAAATCGGGGAAAGTTCAGACCAGTCTCAATCGATCGGGCGAAAAATTTCATGTGAGGTACCGACCCGAAGGGCGATTTTCAAGCGAAAAAACCATCCGTTTCTGAGATAAATGAAAAAAACTTGCCGATATTTCCGAATTTTTTCATTTATCTCAGAAATGGATG